TTGTTGAAGGCCTTTTTGTTTCCTTTCCCAAACTTTTCTTGAATATTCTAGTTTAGGTACAATCACACGGGGGGGGGGGGGGGTACTCATGTTTGCATGCCTCAGGTGTTAGACCATTGACCACGCGTCCTCGACGAAGCATTGGACCGATCGCCGATGGCCAATCTTTCCTTCATACTCTGTATCAATCCTCGAGTGTCTGGAGAGGGGAGCGTATTCAGGCCGGCGACGGTCGTGAGCACGCCGGGTGGTAGAAGCAATCGGCAAGAATGAAGCTATTGCCGCGCCGACAAGAAGTCCAAGAGACGCCGTTAGACTTGCTCCAACAGCAACGCTTAAGATGTGCCAATCGATTCGATTCGATCCCTCTTTCCGGCAAATTGCACGCATCCTTCCTCTCTCTCCCTCTCTCCTCTCTCAGTCACCAACGGGGGTGGGTGGGTGGGCGGGCGGAGCACAAACCGAAGTCGCAACGACTTGCCGAAAACGGTCACTCACTAGGCTCCAACCACCACACACGTTCTCTCACACCGACACACCTCTTGAGAGCTTTGTTGACTCCATTGTCCTTTGATTCCTCACCTTCTTCTTAACCCGAGCCCCCTCTAGCTTCCACGGGACCTTCACCCTCTCCCGGGCGCCACTCTTGGCTCCCGCTTTACCCCCCCCTTTCCCTTTCCCTTCGACGCCTCTGCCGCCAAGGGGAGGAAACAACGGCAGCCCCGACCTTAGGCGTGACCAGGCCGCTACCCCGAGGACCGCGAATCCTGCCGCTGTGTCCAAACCCACCGAATGGAAGAGCCCGTGGTTGTTCGGGATGAGCTGGATCGGGAAGGTGAGACCGGACTTGGAAAGGTGCAGCTGATCCGCACGTGGCAAAACACGGCCCCGGAGGGGTTGGAAATAAGAGGGCGGACGGGTCGCGAGGGAGCCACACGTATTTTTGTCAAACGTCGGGAGTATTGTTCCGCTAAAAAACGGACGCCGCAACAATCGGAACGACTTGAGATTGCTCGAAATGAAACGGTGGCGTCGGGGGAACCAGCCAGGGGTTAGGGTGGCAGCAGCAGAAGGTGCTCTCTTGTGTGACTTGGGGGAACTGAGGAAGCGATCCGTAAGCAAGATCGACGCTACACCAGTATCATTTGGGAGCCCGTGCAATGCTCCACACATACGACTCTCTGCAAAAGCGTTGCTTACCCGTTTGCACTTCGTCCCGCAGTAGGCATGTAGGCATTTCCATCGCCCAAGCGTGAAAAAATCACAAACGCCCACCTGACCCCCCTCTATGAACTACGTCAGCGGCGACCCCGGCCCGACATGTATTTCGACACATTCGTGCAGAAAGCCTTCGCCGAACTTATCCCATCTACAGTAGGCGACAACTTTCCCACCGCGCCCAATCGATACGCACGTGCCGCCCACACACAACGCCTTCTTACCATGTGAAAAAAATACAGCCCGATGCTCAGCGTCGCCTGCCCCGCCGGGTGCATGTGCACCGCCCATCGCGGAGCCCACGCCGGAGGTCCAGCGGTCTGTTTTCTCTCTCCCTCCGTGACAGCCACCCCCTTCCCTCCCCCCCGCCCCCCGCCCGTACCCTTATTCTCTACAGACACTGCCGCCGCCGCCGCCGCCGCTGCTCCCGCCTCGCCCCCCGTTTGGCCGGTGGCCGCGTCCGATGCACCCGGGCTTACGCTCTTGCCGTTCGCGTCGCTCCTGACGGCTGCTGCGGCTGGCGGAAGCGGGGTTTCAGGGGTGGACGCGTCTCCTTCTTCCGCCGGCTCCGCCGCCGACGAAGGGTCGGCGGCGGCAAAGAGGCGAGAAAATCGGCCTCCAGCCGTCGACAAAACTCCGGCAACCTGCTTCGCGTTGCTGTTGCGATTTCGCCGGTCGGTGGTCGGCGACCCGGAGAAGGTCGCCGCTCGCAACGCCGCCGCCGGTACGCGGCGTTGGTGGTCTTGCAAGCCGTGTTGGCGACACCGGTGCGGCACGAGCTTTGTTCTTGCCGCTGGATTGTTCGCCCGCTGCCGTACGCGGTGCGTCCGGCCCTTGAAGTACATGCAATCGGGTGTGACGGAGATCGGGGAATCGGTTTGGAGCTTTGGGACGAAACACGATATCAACACATGTACCAACTAACACTTTGGCGGACCTCCTGCAGCATTGCTGAAACAAGGGTGCCGTGCCTTTGGGTAATGTGTCTGTGGGGGGCGAGCACTCCTTCGGTGTCGATCTGCAACCAACTGCTAGACGTATTGTAGTTGTACCCCAACCTGCATCCACACGACGGAACTTGCATAAATAGTTCCCCCTCCCTTCTTTCTGTGATCAACTGACTGCTGCGAAGCCCCTCAACAGCAACCTACTTTCGACCTCTCCGTCTGCCGTGCTCGTACGAATCTACCTCCTAACTGCAGCAGCACTTCATACCGGTATAAAATAGGTGCACGCACGCGTATGACAGCCAGCCTGTTCGTGTGGATCAACAACGGCACCCCGCGAACATCGTTTTGTACTGCTGTGGTGTAAGCTACCCAGCCTACAGCCTATGTACAACTTGTACATGTTCCATCCCAGCATTTATGGAGACAGCAGGCGACCTTTCGTAGCAATGCATATTGTTGTTGGAGGGCTACAGAATATGTTTCGTAGATGGTGCCGCAATGGATGTCGCGAGACCAATCCCTCTCCGCTTCTCTGTCTTCACGTTGTACCCACACGCAAGCAGGCGAGTACGCCAACACCAACACACATGTCACCTGAAGTAGCGGTTGGAACCTCAACGACGACCGTTCGTCGCAGTCGGTAGCCTGTCGCATTGGTCTCACAGCGGTGGGGGGCAGTGCCACAAATCCCACTGCACAGCGACAAGCAAGCAAGGACAGTGCCACGACATACCCAACACCTCGCACGTGCATTCTCCCCTCCATAGCCATGGCACTGCCAACAGCAGTCAGTGAAAGCAAACAAAGCAAAGTGGCAGTGGCAACTGTGCTCTGCTTTCCCATTCTGCGATGCTCCGTGGGGTTGCATTTTTTGTCTGCGTCGCCTCCACAGATCTGCCGCCTGCCGCTGGCCGCTCTCGGTCGTCATTGCCGATTGGATTGCTCTGTCGCTGTGTTCCCGTGTGAGCGAGCGTCTCACACCAACGCCGTGAGCCATGGATGAACTTCAGGAGAAGCTCACGGCCTACACGCAGCAGCTCGAGCAGGTGTGTGCAGGAGTCCCTGGTTGAGACTCATCGGTCTTAGTGACGAAATTTACTGAGGACTGAGAACGCCGCCTGGTACGCGCTCGAGTTGTACGCACAACGGGGAGGTGTTGCTGTGTTGCTATGTTGGTTATGTCGTCATCTCCAATGACACCCAGATTTTGTGTGTAGGCTTGTCAGTGTTCACGTTGCTGCACAACGGTCCTGCGATCTTGAAAGCGTTATTCCTGTCGTTGCGGCTAAGAGACAACTTCTAAATAGCGCGGGGCATCTGCACTTGACACCGCTGTCCCCTGGTGGATGTTTGTCTTTGGCCCTGCCGGCAGCAGCCCCTGCCGGCAGCAGCCACCGTAGGCGCGCTCTTTCTCGTTGAATCCCCCACTAGAGCTTCTATGTAACACCGGTCACGCGCGTGTTCAGTCTTTTTTGTGCCGTTCTTGCGTTGGTGTGGAGTTCAGCCACCGGAGGCCTTCGTCGCCGACAGCAAACACCGCCGGCCGGCAACAGAAGTCAGCAGTCTACATAGATCCCCAGCACGCGACCTCGCGTTGATCAGCTATGAGATGTCGTAGGTTGTAGGCTCATGCTATATGTGCTTTCGCATGCCCCTCAGCTGCTCGTCTTGTGTCGTACTTGCTTGAATTCAATACCACCAGGAACACGCCTTTTCTGCTGCTGTCATTCGCTCCCATGTCATGGCTCTCGGGTATCGCTCATGATTGACACCGTACCTACTGTACCTGCTATGAGAGACCACCCCACGCCACTCAGTGTACTGCTGTAAGCATCGTAGTGCGGGGCCTTGGTGTTGTATCTTCACGCGAAGTAGTCTTCCCCCCCATGCATGACGCACGGCGTCTCCTTCCCCTGTTGCTGTCCAATGTCATTCCTCTCTCGTGAAACCAACCCCCCACGAAAGGTGGCCGAGCTCGAAGCTTCTGACCCCTCAAACGCCGGCTTCACCAAGCTCAGGACCGATCTGGAGGAAGTCATCAGGCTCACCAAAGGACTCGTGAGTCGCAAGTTGGGTCGGCCGTTTGCTGCCAAGAATACAACCGAGGGGGAATAATCGGGTTCAGGGTTTGACTTTCAAGCTTGGGTGGGATACGCAGCAGTAGAACTAGGGAGGGGGGTCAGCCTTTTGCGGCCAAAACACAACCGAGGGGGGATAATCTGGGTCAGGGCTTGGCTTTCAAGCTTGGGTAGGATACGCAGCAATAGAACTAGGGAGGGGGGTTCACTTCCTGGAGCATGGCCAACCAGCGCTTCATGCTGTGGGTTTGTCTGTTTCAAACGTTGAAGATTGACTGCTGCTGGTCTACCCCTCGCATCGCGCCCCCTTCAAGTGTCCTTGATCAGAACGAATCTCTTGCCTGCGGCAAAACATGTTTTCTCGCTTTTGGCCTGACGACCGTTGTCCGTATGAGCTTGCCGTGGTAGACGACGAAAGCCGGAAATGCTCCATTCCTTTTGGGGAGGGGCGCAAGGGGGGCCGTGGTGCGTCCTATGACTCCAGGTACATACAGATGAAAAAACACTCGCGCTCACGTCCCCGCTGTTGCCTGTTGCCGCCGTTCTTACGCAATGTTACCGTCCTGTCATAATACGCTACGCCACGGAACCAACGCAGATCGAAGAAGCGAAGGGCACGTCGGCCCTCCCCGCCCCTGAGCCCGCAGCAGCACCAGCATCATCCGCTGCCCCAAAATTTGAAGCCGTCCCAATCGGGAAGTGGGAGCCTGTTGCCGCCCCCGCCCCCGCCCCACCAGACGCACCACGAGAAGGCGGCAAAGGAGGAGGGGGGGGGACGGCAGCGGTGGCGGCGGAACTAGGGAGTTCCACAACAGGCGTGTTCGGCGTGGGAGCAAGAGTAGAGGTGCTCTCGGCGGATAAGTGGTACCCTGCGGTGAGTGTTCACTGATGAACGGTTTCAAGCAGGGTTGAGCTTATCGTGAGAGACTTCTCAAGAATTGATCTACGGCGTCGTGGCGCGCGTGCGTTGGGTGGCTGATCTTGTGTAGCAGGGTCGAAAGCTTGTTGATGGTAATTACGACGTATCCGAACCGGGGGGGGGGGGGGGGGCACAAAGTGCCGTATGTTGAAGAAGAGGCCGAGACAAAGGAAGTTGTCTTTGCGCCTACCCCGGTGTCCCTTGGGTGTACCGGTCGGAGCAGTAACATACGGACAGGGGGGGGCAAATGAGGGGCGGTGGGGGCCGAGCATCGCTTTTCAACGGGTGCTGAGACAACGGCAGTGATGACGACCGCAACAACCAGAAATTGCGACACCATATTTCTCTGTTTTTTGGGTGTGTTTCAACAACCAGAAATGGCGCTTTTCCGGTTTTTGTGTGTGTGTTTTGGCCTCCGCAGGTGATCGACAGCGTCTCGGAAGACGGACAGGACTTCGGGGTGACCTACATGGGCTATGGCACCGAGGGGACGGCAACCATCACAACGCTCCGGCAGATCACGCGATCTCCGAGGCCAGTGGCGGCAGCGGCGGCGGTCAAAGGACTCGAGTGCAGGGCGCTGTACGTGGGGGACGGAACGTGAGTGGGAGGCGGTGTGTGTGTGTGTGTGCGTGTGACGTGGGGGGGGGGCACTGCTGTCTGCGGAACTCTTGCCAACAGCGTCTCTAGGGAGACTCTTTCTGTGGGAAGTTCAGTTTTGGCGACATAGGATTTTTCGAGGGCCGCTATGATCATGATGCTGTATGGCGTAGCGTGACAGATGCGTAGTCTTCCTACATTAACCCGATATCGGTAGTGTCATGGTGGTGAGTCCGTTGAAGCGCATCTGAAGTGCACCCCTTCCATACCAGCGCATCGAACCGCATCACATCACACAAATACCTTTGCCCTTATCCCGTGCCATCTACTCAGGTACTACGACTGCACGATCCAGGAGGTTACGGCGAACGGGTACAAAATCGTCTTCCCCGCGTACGGAAACGTGGAGGAGGTTCCGCTAGAGTACCTGCAGAAGAAGGTCACGATGTCCCTAGCCAAGGTAAGAGAGAGAGAAGGGGGGAGAGGTAACAACGTTGTGGTCTAGCCAGGTTGGGCGAGAGGCGCACAGCCACAGAGAAATCAATTAGTATTACCTCGTGTCTCGCCAACTTTTTCTAGGGAGAGTCGACGACACCTTGGCGTCTTATCGCAAACCTTACAAGAGACGACGACGAAGCCGACAACAACAGACACAACGTTTAATCTGGTATCTTCGGTCTTCACCCCTTGCCCCCCCCTTCCCCGCACACCCGTCATTTGCTTGGCGTTTTCGTGTGCCACGGGGTGTCGCGTGCCGCAACAGGCCAAGCAGGCAGAGGCGCAGGCAGAAGCAGACGCGTCTTTCGCCATCCCGGAGAGCCTTCGGTTACGAGAGGGCGACTCCGAGGCGGAGCGGGATCGAAAACGCAAGAAGGTTAAGGCGCTGAAGGTGAGAGAGGAGAAACACGCACGCAGGCAGGCACAGGACGCGCACACACAGAGGGGTAAACAGACAAGCAGACAAGACGGACACCCAGAGAGGTAGACGGACACACAGACAGTCGCAGACGGAGAAAACAGACAGACACTAACACAGAGGCTGCTTTTCTTCACGTTGGAGCGTAAGGCCTGCGCGCCTTCTTCGGTCAATTTTTGTTTCGCGTGGCGGCCTGCTGTGATCACCGTAGTGAGCTCTCTTAAGTTGGTGAGGGAAGCCATTCTCAACACGGGAAGTCAGAACTCCTGTGTACACGGGTGATGTTTTTTCTTTCGAGAGCGAATGTCGCTCACTGCTGTGTTGGGAGACAGAGGCATTCCGTGCTCAGTAGCACCGCATGCCCCGTGATCGCCAAGTGGTGCCCGCCAACACTTCCTTAGGGTACCCATCGGATGCATGTGTGCCGTAGCACGTCCACGCTAGATACGAGTTGACCGATTTTTCGCGACTTGCGTGCGTGCGCGTTTTGCGGGGGTCACCGGATTTTCATCGATTTCCCCGCCCCGGCCGCTCTCGTGTCCCCCCAGGGTCGTTTCAAGATCAAGCAGAAGGACGCCGTAGTAAACAACAAGCAGGCGTCGTGGCAGGCGTTTCAGACGAAGGGGGCCAAGAAGAAGACGAAGGGGAGCATGGCCGCGGTGTCGCTGAAAAAGGAGTCAATTTTCGCCTCGCCGGCGGGTCTCGAGGGGAAGGTCGGGGTAACGGGGAGCGGGCAGGGGATTACGGAGCAGGTCGCCCGCAAGAAACACAAGACGGTAAAAGAGTAGGCACCGCGCACCGCAGCAGTTTTGTACGAGTAGCACGACGTGCGTGGGTGCGAAGTATTTGCACGTTTTGCGGGAACGCCGCGGGATGTGCTCGCTATAGAGAACGCAGCGACATGTAGTCCTTCGAAGGAAAAAATATGGAGTACTGCTGTGCTGTACGAAAGCACCGCTCTCCGTCATGAGTGCGTGATGATGTTTTGTCAGGTATGCACAATCTTGGGTTCGAATAGCTGCGTAAAAACACAAAATGTGAAAATGAGAGGGTCAAGTGTTTGCCGATTGCGGCGTAGGGGGAGTTTGAAAGGGAGGGTCAGAGGCATTAGATTTTTCGTTTTGAGCTTGTTGACGCTTTTTTTTTGTCGAAGTGGATAGCGCCGACATGGCATCATCGTGTTGAGTGTATCGAAGCGAAGGCAGAAACCTTATTTTCTACACGACAAAGAGGAAATAGATTAATTCCGGGCCTCCTCTGTCTGCATAGAACCCGGCGACGCTACAATACACGCGGCTTGGCTAGCAGCTTCTCGCGGCATGGGGGGGGAGGCCCGCTGACTCATGCGTCCGAGGTTCCTTGCCGTTCGATTTGAACCAACCGACAAGGGGAGGTGGGCGACAAAGATAGAGAGGGGCATGCTTCAATAACGCTCTTGACGCTGGACACAGCATGGAGCCCTGCTTGCTGCTGCAAACACCTTGTGCTCATATTCAGCCTTCGCGCTTGCGGTGGCGGTACGGATGGATGTGCATTTGGGATTTGTTGGGGTCCCCGCAAACTTTCACCCACATTCAAATGGCTGATGCGCAGTCTCCCATTTACTTGTCCACGGTAACAACTGTTGGTGCACGGTAGGCAATACAGTCCGTCCGTCTACCCGCTCGTCCACAGCAGTGGATGCCAGGAAAGAACCGCACCTTACCCGGAGAGGGCTCTATCTGCTTCCTACTCTGCGGTGCGAGGTTCATTGGCGACCCTCTTCTCTCCTTTGGAAGAATCGAGCCGCGTGGTGACTAGAAAACACGCACGACAGGAGTCCGTCCCTGCGCACCCAATTCCCGTTGCTTTATCGCCGTGGGCAGTCGAATCTGTCGTCGACCGACAACTTCTCATCGCCGCTTGATGCTGCGGGGCGACACCTTGCTGCCGCCGCAAACTACAGTTACCGCCAACATGTTCGTTTTAGGTTCTCGCTACCCGCCGCTTGGAGATTCCTGAGGGTTGCGTCCGGCCATTGATGCTGGTGGCGGTGTTGCTTGGAGATTCCTTAGGGGTGCGGCCTTTACGTCGTCTACTTAATGCTGATGGAGGTGTCTGGCATGGTCTTTTTCAGCTGCCGGTACAGCTCTGCTTTCCTGGGGTCCTCCATGGCCTTGTCCAGGTCACGCTGTCTCTGCTCCGCCTCCTCCTCCATTTGCCGGTACGCGTCGCGCATCCGTTCCTGCTCTCCGCCCGCAAGAAAAAGAATAGCACACAGTTCAGTAAGAGGTCAGACGAACTCAGGAACCGTGACCGCCCTCTATGTCTGCTTCCTGTTGACGCTCAAAAGTGTGGTACATGCGGCGAGAGAAAGAAAGACAAAAAAGGAACGTCCAAGCCTTTTGCGTTTGTCGAGATAAACATTCCAGGATTTTCACCAAGGCAATTCACTGAGCGGCCTTGTTGCGAGCCGGCTGGTGCTACGACCACCGCAAATAACAGTGCTGCAGATAAACGTTTACCATGTTGTAATCACGCAAATCGATCTCGCCCGCGGGTCGCAATACTCGCGAGATTGGAGCACCGCTCAGAGACAACCATCAACAACCTCCAACGCCAACAGCAAACGAACCTCCTCTCCTGCTACTCCAATTCCTAGGCAACAACGTCCACAAGCAACACCAACATCACCGCCCATCGCAAAACAACCCTGGAGAAAAAACAAAGCTTTCTGTTCCCCCTACCCCCAACCATCCGCGCCCGACTAACCTCCTCCAGCCTCTCCTCCGGGCTCTTGTTCTGGTGCTCCCACAGCGCCTTCGCCCCTCGCCTCCTGGCGTGCTCGGGGTACCTGGAGGCGTCAGACCCGGCGTCGCACGCGAGCACGTCGACCCCAGGGTCCCCCTCCATCACGCACGCCCACCACTCGAACCCCGGCTCGCCGTCAGCCGGTAGCTCCTTCTGCAGGTACAGCAGCACCCGACCGGGCCGCTCCATCGTCCACAGGCACTCGTCCACCTGGACGGGCCGGCTCAGGGCTCCGGCGAGGACGGGCGTCGCGGTCTCGCCTTCGCCTACAAATCCGGGGTCCCCCCCCTGGGAGGCTGGATCTTTGGCGGCGTCGCTGCTTGCCGTAGGGCCGGCGGTGGTGGCGCTCGTCCCTGCACCGTGCGTGAATTGTGGTCTTGTTCTTCTTGGGCGATCGTCCTCGGCGTGCGGAAAGACGACGGACACCGACAGGCGCGATCGATGCAAGTCTACGCGAACGTCGCTGGCTCGGGCCCAGGGGGGTATCTTAACGCTCACCTGAACCTGTTGTTTGATGTTTTTTTATTGCGACGGCCGAAAGGAGCGATAGCGTGGGTAGGCCGACGGCGAAGGGAGAGGGGGTAAGGGATTCGGAAGAAAGAGTTTTGCCGTTCGGAGGTTCGCCTGGTATAGGCGAGACAAATGAAACGAGCACAAGCACTGCATGCCGGTGAAGGCAAAAGGTCACTTCGTGTCTCCCATGACGTACTGGTCATGGATGCGGGATGACTAGCGCTGTCCTCCTTCCCAACAAGTTAAGAAAAACACATCGCTTTGACGCCGAGACTTGCCATGATCTGTAGTAGCACTTCACTACAACCTGGTGCTACTACTTCCACTACTACTTGCGACAGCTGCTGTTTACCCTACAGCTGCTGCTGTGGTGCGCTCTTGCCTCGTAGATGGACTGATTCCAAGCGTAGAGCCCGTCCCTACACTCGCCGCCATTGTGCGTCGAGAAGGGTTGTTCGGATTGTTCTTGAGAGCGTTCGTTAGACTCTTCGTCACCACTGCAACTTCCCTTCCCCTCCTCCTCCTTCGACACCCGGCCCCCCTGCTGCTGTTGGTTTTCCGGTGCTTTCACTCCCCCCTGGTCTCCGCCGATGCCGCCGGCGATGACAGCGTGGTCTGCCCCCGGTGCGGGGGAGCGTGCTAGCTGCTGCGTAGGAGCGCTTCCGCCATCGGCGGTCGCAGAAGTGATGTTGTCCGTCTTCGTCACCTCGGAAGTGGAATCGGCCTGTCGTTGTTGCTGTTGCTGCCTGCTTCTTCGGCCTTCTTCCGTTTCCCTTTGTGGACCGAGAAAGCAGAGCGACGCGTGTGTTAATAGTGATACGGACGTCCGCGATCAGGTGCACAAGGGTGATCAGACATGGGATGGGACGGTCCGTTGCCGCTGCTCGACAAGCACGTCAAGTGTGGAAACGGAAACGTGCAAGCCGTACTGTCCAAAGCCACTTGCGTCCCATAGGCGCCGCTGGAAAGCGGTACGCAGCCGCGTCACGACCCAACAACGTGCCGCGCGGCGAGTTGAACAAGATCAAGCTTCTTGCACTACTGTGATGACGCCCTGCTCCCGAACACACTTTTGCGAAAAAATGAGTTGTCCTTCGCAAGCGCCAAACCACCACCAGAACAACGATGGGGTGGCCACATATCTTCCCCCCCAGTTTGGTGATGTGCTAGTCTGGTCGGATAAAAAACCCGGGGTGCTCCGTCCCGGCATTGTAGGGATGCGAGGTCAATGGTCTAGCGACTACGGGTACGGCATGCAAGGGTATCAGCACACCCTAGTATCGCCGGTGAACTCCGTTACGCCAGGGAGTCACGTCGGAAAGCGGCTACCGTGCCGTGCCACGGCATGATTGCTGTACTACATATGCGCTCTCACCGTCGGAGGCTTTCCTTGGCCTCGTTTTCTGCGAGCTGCTTCTTTGCCTTCTTGAGCTCTCGGCTGATGGCGGCGTCTCGGGGTTTCAACCGCAGGGCCCGCACCAAGTCCTCTCGCGCGGCGGCCACGTTTCCGCCTCCCGCCAGGGCCGCCGCCCTCCTGTAGAGGCATTTCGCGGCTACTTCTCGATACCTCGTCTTCTCTGCCTCCCGTTCTCTCTCTCCACTTTCTTCCTGCGCTGGGTCTGCTCCCGGCTCGGCTTCCCTGTCAGCGCCGCGACTTGGTGCCGTCGTTCCCTGGTGTTCTCCGTAGATCTCTCCTGGTTGCCCCTCCTTCTGCTGCTGCTGCCCCTTATCCGGGAGAGCTCCCGTACCCGTCGGGGCTGCCGCCGCATCTTCTGCATCTCCTGTTGATGTACCTGTCGCAGAACTGGCCCTTGTGGTACCGGCGTTATCATTGGCAGCAGCGGGAGCCGCGCGGCGGTCACCTTGAGCCACCCCAGGAACACCGTCACGTGCGTCTTTCCCCGTGCCGCCGATTTCCGCCTCGATTTCACGCAGGGCGTCCCCGCAGCACTCGTCGAGCACGTGCGTGCAGCAGGCAATCGCGGGGGTCCACTCCCGCAGGAGGAGGTTGCACGCGGCGAGGTTGAGGTACAGGGACGGTCGGACCGTGTCCGCTCGCTTGGAAAGGGATGCGGTTTCTCTGTCTTGCAGAGGAGGAGGCCGGACTGGAGCTTGATCATCATTCCCCTGCGTTTGTACTCTAGGTGGTGGTACAGGTGGCGAAGGGGTTGGGCTTCTGCTCCCATCAGAGGTGTTGGCGGCGCTGGCTCGGTTGTCGTTGCCCTCTTCCTGCCGCTGCTGCTGTTGCTGCTGCTGTTGCTGCTGCGCGCGCTGTGCCAGAAGGCGAGCGTCTGCCTCGCCGAGCACCCGGAGTCCCTCCGCATACAGGACACAGGCGTCGCGGAGAAAGTTCTTGCCCGCCGTGTGTTTCGCCAGTACCTTTCCCTTGTGAAAGTCTACGTTGCCTCGGTCCTTGCAACTTTCCGCTTCGGCAAGGAGGGCGTGCGTTGTGGCCGGCTCCTCTTCAGCAGCTGAGCCTTCGTGAATTGGATCTTTCTCCTCGGTGCTCAGGGTCGCCATGATCTCAGAAAACGTCCTATGTTTCACGCTGGGTAGATCGTCATTCATGTCTTTCACCCCGGTTATGTAGGAGAAAACGATGTAAGAGACAGACAGACAGAGACAGACAGAGAGCGCGAGCTTCGACTGGGGGTTGGAGGACTGCGGACGAAGAATGAAACGGAAACCACTGACCACCCTGCAACCTGCAACTCACGACGAGCCCGGAGGGGTCCCCGCGGAATCGGCGGATGGGTTTTACACAGCAAACATGATTTACGGTTCGGGGGTGGCGTGCATGCACATTTTACGCATCATCGCTGCTGGCTGACCACATAACATCGCAGTAGACCTATGGTGAAGGTCGTCAGCGGCAAGTCAAGCTGCGCCGTCATTTTGGTTGTGTCTATCTCTCTGGAAGAGAAGAGGGCTCGCGAGCCCGGTCCTCTCATCGAACCGGAGAGATGGGCCAACCACAACGAACTAGAATAGGGCGGAGTTCTGTACATGTACCCTACATGAGCGAAGAACAGATGGTTTGAGACAAGGCAAAACACTCCCGCATCATGAACGATGCAACATGCCCGGAAGAGCACTATCGACGTTTGTCTCTTGACCTGGAGATTTTCGTACCTGTGAGAAAGGGACACCTAGCTTGTAGGAAGGCTCAGCTGAAGCTGCGCATTCTCGATAGCGACAGAAGAATTAACGAACTTTCTTTCTCGGGGAGGATCAGCCTACCTGAATGTCCTAACATGTGGTGGTTGACCATATTGTTGTACTCTGGCTGCATTTTGGGGCAGCGGTGACAGTACAAAAATACGCTTCCCGAATGTGGATTGCCGCACCTCAAATCCAAGCTGAGACTCTCAGGATCTGCAAATATGGCACATGTATGCGCACATGCGGCGCATCACATGTGTAGACACGCGTACGGGAGACAGGCAACAGCCTTCCCATCTGCCACTGCGGAGATTGTTGACAGATGTTCGCGAAAGAAGTTTTGCTGTTCACCGCCTCGCCGCTTGGCAGGTCCAGCTGAAGCGATGCTTTGCAATACATACAGCGAAACACTCAATCACCGGCTCTGTCGAAACCAGGCACGCTCTCAGGCACAGCAGTACACGCTTGATACTATAATTTCTGACATGTTGCGTCGACACACAAGCCACACGGATCTAACTCTGTACATTATAACGGTGCCCCCGCCATCGGCCGTCCGTTCCCATCTCTCTGCCGGCGTTGTTCACCCCAACTACCACGCAAACCAGCGCACGCTGCCGTTCTCTCACGCCAACGAGATCATCTGAAAGAAACGCGATAGACACGGAACGCCGGACACTCGCGTATAGAACCCCCGCCCGTGGTTGAGGCAAGAGAGGCAAGGGCCACAACGCCACTATGCACCCCATACATACACACGTCCAGCGCGCACGTCACCCGCCACCAAACCATCTACGACCTCCAGCTTTCATTCCACCCCGCATCGACCGCAGTGACCTCCACATTTTGTTGTCGCACACCGAGCACCAGTCATCCTTCGCCGACCAACGCTCCTTTCCCAAACGCCTGGGTATTCCTCCTCCTTTTTCCTCACCCTCAATAGCAACGTAGAGATTATCATTGAGATTCTTTGGCCCGCCCCCCTCTCATGTTCGTTCTACCAAGGCTGGCTGGCGTGCGGGGCCCACTGCTCGAGACGCAAACATACACGGGAAGGGCGGAGAATCTTTTGGTGTGTGGGCTACGTCGAACGCTAGGCTAGACTAGAGACTAATGCAGGTAGGTCTAAGCACCCTGCTTCCCATTTTCCGCGGCAGGGGAGGGAGATGGGGTCGGGGGCGGCTTGTAGTCGGCCGGCAAGCAGCCGTCAGATATGGCCTGCTGCGTGAACTTGGTGAGCAAGCTTGGGGCAGCGGGCGTGTCGAGGACGAGGTCCGGCAAGATCTGTTTTTTTTTGTTGCGGAATACGATGGGGACGGAATAGGTGAGACGAATGATACGGGGTGGCCTCGCACCAATACCGACACCCACGATCCTTCCTCGGTTAATGGTGTTGGGTAGAGGGGTGCTTACCGTTGAAGGCGAGAAGAAAAGGTCGACTCGATACCTTGTTGAAGAGGGCACGCTGGCCCACGCACGGAAGCACAGGGATCGATCTCACTACAAACACATACCAACATGCTACACGAAACCCTAGACCTCGGCAGATCCGGATCTCTAGCGCTGAGTACACCTAGCATTAGCGTTATATCCCACGAAGACACCACGTTGTCGGCATTTGCGCGGGATCTAAACAAAACAAAAAAAATGAATCAAGGAGAAATATACTCCCCTTATCCGTGCAAGAGACGAATTTGTTGTATTTTTGTAAGAAAAAGGTATAAAAAAAAAACAATGACAACAAAAATCGGAACGAAGACAAACAGAGGACGAACGGCAACAAGGGGAGGGTATGTTGTCGTCTCACGCGCCCGTTTTCAAGGTCGACCTGGCTTGACTCGCCTCGTGCAGCCTGTCGAACCCTTTCTTGCTCTGCTCGTCGCTGATGACCTCGTTCTTGTTGAGGTAGGCCAGCAGGGAAGACATCGCCGTGCGGTCATCGTCCGTCTTGTCGAGAGCCGCCTAAAGTTCGGGATGTGTGTAAACGGGTGCTGCAGGGCGTTAATTTAACCTCTCATTTCACGATGCAAGCAAAAAACAAAATAAACACATGTTCTGCTGTTGAAGCATCTTTGGTTTGGGTTGCAGGGAAGAAAGCTATTGAAAAAAAGGGCAAACTTATCGCGAGGCAGGCGGCCTAACTTCTTTGATCTGCTACATTGTTGATCATGACGCACAAGCATGGGTCTGACTGCTGTCGACACTCTCGTGTCTCGTGTCTCGCATTTGCCTCTTCCCTTGGACCCTTCACAGACACGGACTTCGCTTTCGCCAACACGGCCGCTACTTCGTGGGATGCTCATTAAATCTTGTTACGAATCTCGAGAGCCCTTCAAACGAACGCTCGCTAGCCTATCCTCTCGCACAAACTTGCTTGGGACGGTAAGTACAATCCACCTCCGGTGTTTCGGCAACGTGGCTGGATAAAAACGTCTGCCTCACTGCCGTTACATGGCTGCCACTCGCTTGGGGGGTCGATCACAAAAAGGCCCTCCTCGACGAGGACCCATGAAATGGAGTTAATGGGAGTACCTGGGGTGTTGACCACTTTAAACCGCCTCTAGCGGGTACACTATTATAAAGTTGCCAACTGCTCTGCGCTGACGTGGTTATCCACTAGATAGGTTTCAGATGCGTTGACGGCAAAAGTAGCGTAGAATCACCTTGACAGCGCGCTTGACTATCTCGTGGTGGAAGAGACTACAGTCCAGCTCCTTCACGCATGCGGCGGCCTCGTCCTGCTGCCTCGACAAGAGGTACTCCACCAGCAGCTGCAACAAAAAAAAAAATCACGCACACGCATGATGGTTTGACGAATCAACAATTTCGTTACGGCGCGGCTTCTGTGTTTTTGTAGCGCTGTGGATTGAAATGTAGGCATGGGGTCAACGCCGACGAACAGTAGGGCAAAAGATATTTCTCGGGATCTCGCAAGCACTTTAAGAGACCATGTTTGGAGAGCAACAGCGAGAGGTATGAGACGGGATCTCCAGGCTCTCAGTGTGGCGCAAGTTCCTCTAGGGATGTATGGCGTGGAGACACAAACCGGGTTCATCCCCTCGCGATAGCTAGGTGGTGGTCGTGGAGGCAGAAGAAGATGAGGTATGGTACGGGTACTCGACAAAAGGAAAATCACGGTACCAGAGAGAACAGAAACGCGTACCGTATGACATGGCGGAGAAAAAAGGACGTCTGCTCGCTTTACTGTGAAAATCGCCAGAATGCTCCAGCGTAGCAGGTATCAGGGTCATTTTCACGTAACCCCGACTGTTCACTGATGCTTCAATTCACCAGTATGAGACTAAACAACCAACACTTACAACGAGCGACAATTACAAGCGCGCTGGCGCACGACTACCCGAGGTGGTCTACATACGCGTCAGCACATTTTCTCGATAGTCAGACTAGACCACAACAGACCTAACCAGTTCCCACACCAAAAAAAAATAACTGACCTGGTCAATTGCCACCTTTAGCTCTTCCACGGGGCGACCGTCTCCGGGCCCCCAGACGTGCTCCAGCCTAGACAGAACGTGGTCCCTACGAAAAGAAGAGAGAGACACACACAATTCAATCGCCGACCTCTCTTTTGGAGCGAGAAAACAATAACTCTATGTATGACAAGCGATCGACAGCACCACATTTCCAAAACGCCCTCCTCAACACGGGGGAAAAACTCGCGCCACACATATACGACCGCACAACCGCAGATGCACACCACTCGCTTCAACGCCTAGTACGCCGTACCCACAATATTGTTTCTTTCTCCATCGTCGTGCCTCCGATGTAAGAGGGTGGTGTGACAAAGGCCCTCGACCCTCTATATCGGAGCCCCCTCGTGCAAGGTACCGTCCTATATCGGAGCCACGACCGTACGGCAGCGTACGTACCTGGAAAGCAGGCGCCGCGCTCCCTTGACGATCTCGCCCCCAAGGCTCAGGAAGGCAGCATTACGCAACACGGAGGGGGGGATGATCTCGTCCGCCACAGCACGAGCCAAGAATGATGCCACCAATGTCCTCGCACTGCAGTCGGGCCAACGGAAAAAGAAAGTTTCAATCGGTTTCGCGGGGTCCGCGTCCAGTCGCGGGAACATTTGAAATCAACCACACAACATATGAATCGATTGATTCGCACGCGCGAGATATCAGTCGCCCCAGGAGGAAAGTTGCCGACGTAGCTCCTCCTGTGTGACCGCGCTTGGTGCGTGAAACCACAGACGGCCGAACGGTGTACAGACAGCCGCCCAGACCAGACGGGGCAAAAACAAGAGAGGATGATTTCGTTCTCTGACTATTTTTCAGATGCAACAGAGAGACGCAGCTAAGACGACGTACTTGGGAGCGTCGAGCTGTATGTCGTCGATCATCTCGAAGAGCCTCTCGAAGCCCTTGCACACCTCTCGGGAGGACAGGATGTCAGGGTAGGCGTCCGACAGCAGCTTCGACACCAGCTCCCGCTGCTCCATTCGACATGAACAATACCAAAAGAAAACATAAAAAGAAACGGACGCAACAGCTGTTTGATTCACTACAAACAACAAAAAACGGGAGCAGCAGCAGTAGCAGTAGCAACGGTAGACAACAGCAGCAGCGGCAACAAACCGAACCTCGTGGTCTTTGGCGTCGATGGACATGTTGATGCCGCGCTTCACGATCTCGTAGTGGTAGGCGGGGGACTTGAGCTCCTTCACCGAACGGAGCACCTCGCTGATGTCCTCGGACAGGAAGTACTCCTGGAACGACACCCGTCCCGTTCCGTATCATACCGGAATTACCGCATCACAGCCGTACACCGAAACGTCGAGTTGCGGACAACGGCGAACAAACAAGAGAGGGGCTGAGATCAAGTCCGTGTTGCAGAAGAAGGCAATACACGTGTAACAGAAATGTGAGAAAGAACCAACTTTCGTGCGTGCTTAGCACGCGCCCACCCGTGTACACGCGAGCGCACACACACGCATGAGTATTTCTCTTCATCTTCTACCGGTTGTGACTTTTATCCGGAGAGAATAGCCTATTAGGCTCTCCCCGCGATGCCCATCACGGGGTCCTAGATCATGGCCTTGAGAAGATTTTTCTATTTTCAGCCGCACCGAGACTGACGCCTTTTCATTGATCAGTCGGTTAGCGCGATCGATTCCAATAATACAACAGACCACACACATACACAAACAACCGCGTGAACATGGCGCAACGTGATGTGGGCATCCCGCAACACAGCAAGCGCGACCGTGTTGGGGGACCAGGCAAACAAACACTCGCACACGAACGCAAACGTGGAGCTCAAATGTCTACCCGCTGTGACAGTGGCATCTTCCCGTTGTTCACCCACGGCTAACGCGGGTCGATGCGACACAAATCCAAGAAACAAACGCACGGAGCAGCTACACACACACACCCGGATTGACGCTCGCTGGCGGTCCAGGAATGACAACACCAGGTGGGGGAAGAGATCGAGCATGAACCACCGTCTAGTGTTCATCAAGAACGACCCACACAGCACACCTCAATGATTGTCTTGAGATGCCTCTTGAACTCCGGCAGCGTGTGGAGAGGGCCCGGAACACGCCGTTGGGAGCGATAACTGTGCTGTCTGACACCTGCCGGAGGCGGGGGGGGGGGGGGGGGCTACTTCTTGGTGTACGTCCATCAGAACAGAGACAACAATACCGCCATGTGTAAGGTCACCATGCAAGAGGTTCAGATAATCCATAGCGCCCCCTCCGCCTTCAGGAACACCGCGGGAGACCAATTGGCAACCGACGTATCGTAGCGATGCATGCACAGTCCTTTTCTTGTCTTTCTCTCGGCGATTGCTCTCTGCACAGAAGTTGATTGGCCAGGACACTGCCCTATTCTGGCTTTCGCTCATCACCTTTGCGGTGGCTGTTATTGCCTAATAAAACACCCGTCCTCAAGACATCACCCTGACAGGTCTCGCGGTGGTTGCTTAAAACACCGCCCTCAACATGACGGGTCTCGGCAAAAAAAAAATGCCGCCAAAAAGAAACGGGGAACACAACCACTCACCAGGACATAGTTGTTGTCGTGCTCGTCAGCCTCGGAGTCGTAGTTAGGGTCCCCCTTGTCCGCGATGCCGTCCCGCGCTTGGGCCTCGCTGCCGTCCTCGGTCGGGTCCCACCGGCCCTTCTGCCCGCCGCCTCCGCCACCGTTCTTACCCTAGGCAGAATGAGTCACGAGGAACACGTCAAATAGTGCTGCTGTCTGAATTGTACCAATTGAAAAAAACACAATCACCGTGGATGTCTACACCCCAACCAGAGCATTGCGCATAAATTTTTCGCTGCTACAATAGAAGCGAGTACCAATAGTCACACAAGGCCATCTCTGCGCCCCGCCTTCTTCAACATCGTCGCCGTTTCTCCCCCTCGTCCTTAGTGTGACACACAGCATATGCCAAAAGATGTCAACATCCTGAGACAAATATCACGCTTCACGAAAATGAAATCTTTCATGCGTGATTTTCGTAACGCGAAATCGAGTCTCAGGCCCGCAACAAACCTGATCCATGTTTCACAAATGCTCCCAATTTTTTCCTCCTTTGTTACACTTGTGTTTCGTTTTTAACTGCAGATCTTCTTTTCTTTCTACAAAACACAACGGAATCATCTCCATCGGCAGAAAAAAAGTCCGGGATAAATCTTATTGGTCCCTTGAATTATTACCTTCACGCCTCCCTTGCGCGTAATGTTCCTCTTGGACGTACCCTCGTCTCCCACGCGAGACTCTGGAGCCGGGTGAGACTTAACCTTGTGCCCGTTCATCTCCCCTGTGCAGGAACCAAAAAGCGGCCAGGAGTACACGTGGTCAACAAGCTCACGTCGCGCACGATCAACGTCTCTAGTTCGGGAGCAACGAATACACAATATCTGTCGTGAAAAATACCCGGCAGCTTCAGCGGTTCCACGTCCTCCTTGTTTCTACAACGGACATCAAGAGTGATGTGGTTCATTTTACCCTCCACGACTACATGCGCGTGAGCTTTTGCTTCCCGCTGTCCCCCCGCCTCCTTTAAACCCTCTCTGGGCGTTGTCAAGCAGGCCCGCAAGACGCGACGCTTGTTTCACTTCCGCCACGTGACAACCCTGATTCTCCTCCCCTGGATAGGGTTCTTAAAAAGCTAAACCTGACCCCAACAGCACTACCCGATATTTTCTCCCTTAGACAATGCGCTGAACCCCACCCAGACCGAGGGACGCTCTCGCTGCCGTTGTTGGTGGCGATGTTGTTGTTGGTGCTGATACTGCTGTTTCATCGGGGGGTGTCCTCCTGCATCGCGCATCGGGAACCAACTCTTGCGTTTCCCGGCATCTTCTTCCCAGTACTGAACAAAAGACGTTTCAGACGCATGGTCATTGGCTAACCCGCACAAACACAAATGCCCAGGGCATGCCCGTTCCCTCCCTCTCGTGGGCGAAACAGTTGGAAACATCACCTTGAGTAGCTAAGCTCGACATGTTCGGTGGATTTGAGAAGGGCAGAGCTCAGACTTTATCGTGTGAACGCACTCTCGTTGTCTCTTGTCCCTGTCTCTGGTGCACCGCGATGTGATCGTCGATCCTGGCGTGTCTGCCGAAAGACGGCGATAAGGGAACGGAGCACAACGAGGTATGGACGCGAGATTTTTAGAAAACAAACGCGCTCTTTATCTCGTTACGTAAAAGTCAGCAAAAACAAAAAAAAACGTGAACCGCTGGACCCGCTGCCCACAGGACACACGGCGGTGGGCGTGTTACTTCGATTGCCCCATCACGGGGGGGGAAATCAAGTGCACACCTTGCTCCATCGCTTGACCGCTGTCAGCGATACTGCTGCAAATAGTTAAGAATGCTCGCAGTATGCTGCTGTCGAGATGAAGTTAACACTACTCGATCGCCGGACACTTCAACATGCCACGACGCGACGCTGCTGTGTGAAATGTGTGTAATACGGGCTCATGTGCTGAACGGCGTGCGGTGCGCACATCTCTCGCTTGTTTCTGGGGATGAGCGTCCGTTACAAAACACGTCAATGCAAGTAGGTATGCAAGTAGGTTGCAACAAATGAAGAGTGTACGCGCTCTAATCGCTCTGCTCAGCTGCCCGCGGAAAAAAGAGAGGCGACAGACGTCAACCAGGGGCGGTGGTTTGTTCCACATATCACGTTTTTACGGCTACGCGGGAACACAAGCCACTCACACCATCGTGGTGAACTTACCCGTGTGATTTTTCACACGAATACAGCCGTAAAGGGGTGACGTTGAAACTTTCGTCAAGAAAAATATCGAAAAAAGGCTGACTCACCGAGTGCACAAACGAAAAAAAAAAAAAAGAACGCGCAACCAAAACTCTCATTGTATGTACGCTGGCTGTTTGCAAATACCCCGCCGATTTCGTCGCAACAGACGCATGCATGCGCATATGCCACAACAAAATGTTCCATACTTGTATATCTACCGCCGTGCCATAACTGCCAAGCTTTCAAGTACAGCCGGGGGGGGGGGGGT